CTCCTGTGCCATTTTGGGAAACACTGCCATTTGGAAACGTTTCTGGTCTCCCCCGCTCCTCTGGGGGAATCCTTACCACTGGGCACCATGGATTATTCACCGTGGCTTCTCTGGCAATGGACTGGTGCCTGGCAGAGAGTGGGCATCATTAAACGTTGGTTCAGAAATGAAAGGGCGGTAAGGTGCCAGCCAGAAGCGCCCGAGGGCCAAAGCCCAGCCTGGGTGCAGGTCAGAGCTGATGGCCTCAGGATCTGCTCACTTACGGGGAGTGGTCCAAACAGACCAGTAAACCCTACCCACGGTGGAGCTAGCCCCCCATGTTGGGATCCCTACTAGTGAGTTTCGGGGGGCAAGTTGAGTTAATCCAAGCAGAAATCAAGCAAGTCAAACCTCTCCCTCTCTTCTCTCTCTCTCTCTCTTTCTCTCTGTGGCCGATGCCATCTGCTAGTTTTAAAAATAATTTTTAAAAGCAAGTGTTGTGGTTCTCTTCAATGTGCACCAAAGACAGGCGCTATTTTTAGGCTTGTTTTTCTGTCAGCACCCCCCACCCTCCCCGACCAAAGAACCAGGGGCTGAGTGTCGGCAATTCTGGCTTCCCTGTCTGCATTCTGCCACCAACTTGCATGTGACCTTTTTGCAAATTTCATATGCTCTGGACTCTGAGAACAGGAGCGATTATTCCACCTCCGTCTCTACCTCTCATGAGGGATGTGGAGAGGGTGAAGTTGTACTGTGTGAGAGAGAAAAAAAAAATCATTTGAATAAAAAACACCAGTTAGCTCAGGGCTCGTCCTCGTCACCTGTCAGCTCTGTCTCGATGTGTGGAATAGGAGTGATCACGACGGCGGGTGGTAGAGTTCTCACCTGGCATGCACGAGGTCCTGGGTTCAAAAGCAAACGCAATTTTCCCCACGCACAACCCCGTCTGCATTATGGATTAGCATCCACTGACCGTAGGAGAGAACGTTCGGCCTTTGTTTTGGGGGGGATTGGCTTATGTGGCTTAGCGTGACATTCTGCTGTCATATAGACCTAATTAGAATAAATACATAAATAAATTTAATTTTTTTTAAAAAAGCAAACACAAATTTGAAATAGAAATTATCAGAGTCTCCTGCACCACGAAGTATTCTTTTGTGAAAGGCGGGTTTGGGTGCACTGATGGGTGGGTGTGGCTGGGTCATGATGTGGAAGGTGGTTTGCTATCAAAATGGTGATGCTCTTGTGAGGAGCTATAAAACCAGACGAGCTGGTGGGGAAGTGGAGTGTACGGGATCCGAAGCCCTATTCCTCTGCTAACTAACTGTGCACCCCGCCTGGCTCCCTCCTCACCTGGAAACTCCACCTTCTTCCCCTGTGTGTGGTGTCTACTCCTGCTCTCCCCTTCTGCACTGAAAGCTCTTTGAAGGGAGTCCTCATCCACGCATCCATCCATCCCACGTCTACCTCAGAACCTTGTGTGTAAGATGAACTCACGGGGGGGGGGGAAGCCCAGGGAGAGGTTGTGAGTGGAGACTCTGAAACCAAACTGCACAGGTTCAAATCCTGGCTGTGCAACTTACCAGATAAACAACCTCTGGTAAGCCCCTTACCCCTTCTGAGTTTCAAATTCCATCTCCTTTTTGGAGGGGAGGGGTGAGGGGGTACCAGGGATGGAACTCAGGGGCACTTGACCACGGAGCCCCATCCCCAGCCCTATTCTGTATTTTATTTAGAGACAGGGTCTCACTGAGTTGCTTAGGGCCTCGCTTTGGCTGAGGCTGGCTTTGAAACTCGTGATCCTCCTGCCTCAGCCTCCCGAGCCGCTGGGATGACAGGCATTCATTCCCATCTCTTAAAATAGGGAGAATGATAATAATACGGGTCACATTGGGTTGTTTAGAAATGAGTGAGACAAAATTATATGAAGCACTTAGTCACCTATGGTGTGCCCTCAAGATGTTAGATATATTTCACCACGTGGTCATTATAATTAGGCACTCCATACACGTTTGACAAACTGCTCATACACTGGCTTATGAGTCTATAAAATAGAGCTCTATGCACCTCAAAGATTTTTTTAAGTGGTAGATGGAACATTTATTATATGGCCAACATCGTGCTAGACACTTTCCAAATGCCATGTTATTTATTTCGCTCTGGGGCAGGGGAAGAAGGTGGAGTTTCCAGGTGAGGAGGGAGCCGGGCGGGGTGCACAGTTAGTTAGCAGAGGAATAGGGCTTCGGATCCCGTAGCGATTTCCAGGGTGGAATCTTTGCCCTACACTCCACTTCCCCACCAGCTCTTCGGGTTTTATAGCTCCTCACAAGAGCTTCGCCATTTTGATAGCAAACCACCTTCCACATCATGACCCAGCCACACCCACCCATCAGTGCACCCAAACCCGCCTTTCGCTAAAGACTACTTCGTGGTGCAGGAGACTCTGATAATTTCTATTCCCTTCTCTTTCTTTCTTTCTTTCCTTCTTTCTTTCTCAGTGACCCCACCAAATGGGTCTAATGATCGGTTAAGGTGCAATACAACTCGGGTTTGCTCAGCACTGATCTGGCTTCAATAACTCGGGCATCTTATCTGTGTCTCACTGATAGTTTGCAGCCAGGGGCATGCTTGATCTGAGCCCCTCACTCACTCTGTTAGGGATGGGTGCTGATATCATCCTCTTCTTACAAGTAAAGTGATCAAAGCTCAGAGATAGAAAGGGATCTTCCCAAGCCCGCCCCACTAGAAACTGGCGCCAGACTGCGGGCCTCCCATTTAGGGGGCCACTGGCTTCTGTTCATTTGCCCAGGTCATCATGTACACTGATGGCTTGCTTTGGCCAGGTGTGGTGCTGGCTAGTTGATACACAGTGATAAATAAATTTGACATGGTCCCTGGCTTTGTGGAACTTTCTGTCATACCTGACATTAGACAATTTTTTTAGAGAGTGAAAAAGCAAAACCTTGCATTAAGATCCTTAAGCCTTACATGATCTGAGTCCCTCGTAGCCTCTCTGGCCTCCTCTCCCATCTTGCCTCCTCTCTTCTCCGATGACACAGTTCCCTGTGGATCCTAAAGCCCATCAGGTGCATGCTAGCCTCAGGGCCTTTGCACCGGCTGTTTCCACCACCCCATAGGCTCTTGCTCTTGATTTCTGCATAGCTGTTTCTATCACCTCCTCCAAATCTTTGCTGAAATATCTTCTCAGTAAGTTTTATCCTGAGCCCTTGATGGAAACTGGGAGTCTTTCCTCCCATCTCATCCATCTGGCATTCCCAATCTTTTGATTTTTTTTTCCGTAGTACTTAATTCCCTTTACCACTGTATATCATTTATATATCATGTCTAATGTGCTCTTTATCGATGTTATCCTAGTCGAAGAAAGATAAAGACAAGGAGTTGTTGTTGATTTTGTTCCCTGATTCATTCCCCGCACCTCTAACCTGGTACCCAGGAGGGCTTTATAAATATTTTAAATTTAATTAGTGAATAAATAGAGAAAGAATCACTGGGTTAAATATATAATTACCAATTATGATGGGATGAGAGGGGGAAAAAAAAAAGAAGCCCACAGAGGTTCGTGCAGGAATGTAACAGGCAGACCTAATTTAGATCGGGTGGGTTAAGGAAGTGTTTTTTTTAGGCTGAGAGAACATGAGCACTACAAATAGTCGGTGCAGACCCCGCCATCGCAAACCGAAAGGAAGGAGCAAACCTTTATGCCGAACCCAAGCCCAAGTCTCCAGGAAGACGTGAGGCTCTTCATCCACTTAGCACAAACGCCCTCAGGTGGAAGGACAGCAGGGGATCACGGGGTTCTGCCCGACGCATTCGACCCCAGCTGGGGTTCTCTGACCTCCACTTTCCAGAGAGGAGGCCCAGACACCACCCGACCTCGGTTGATGCACCCAGCCACCCGGAGGCAGATCAGTGTTCCCAAATAAACCCCCTTGCTACAGAAACCTGCGCTCTTTCACTGTGCACCTACTATGTGCTAGTCTCAGGACCAGGAACAGTCTCACACGGTCCGCGGAGGAGGACACAGCCCCTGACTTGAAGCCCAGAACGGGCTCCCCATTTCTTTTTCTAGCCCCAATTCCCTTACCTCTGGACGTGTCTTTCTAAGCTACTATTTCCCAGACTTTGAAAATGCATGTGTTGTCTGGGCTTTCCTAACCACTGTGTTATCCATTACTGCGTGGACTGTCGTCTAGTGTCAGAGCTCTCGGGCTGAAGACAACAGGAAGCACTGATTATTGCACAGTTTCTGTGGGTCAGGAGTTTGGGGGTGGCTTATCCACCAAAGATTCTGACTTTCGATCTCAAATGAAGTTGCAGCTGCCATCCCGCTGGGGGCTGGGACCACAGGCACCCCCCCCCCAAGGCTTAACTGAGGGTCTGCTTCCAAGGTGGTCCGCGCACACGTTGGGGGAGCTGGTGCCGGCTGCTGGCAGGAGATCTCCACCCCTTACCCCGGGTACCTGTCCCTAGTGCTGATTGGGTGTCTTCATGATGTGGCTGCTCTAAGGTCTTTTGTGGTCTAGTCCCAGAAATTGTGCCCCCTACTGGTTACACAATCCAGTCCTATTCATTGAGGGAAGAAGGTGCTATCCAAGGACATGAGCAGCAGGGGACATGAACAGAGCTGGCTTCCACAGCTACCTCCTACCCACAATATTATTTCCATAACGTTTCCCACTTTTTGTTATAATTAACCTGATACTAAACAGTCATATCAATTAAGCCACCAGATTAGTGGGCTAATTATATTTTCCCGCACCAATGAACTTAAAACATTGTAGTTATTAATTTTCAGAATGATTGCCGCTCCACCTAGCCTCCCTTGCGTACTTCCAATAGCATAGGTTTTATACTCCGGGAGACGTGGAGCATGTGTCAGAGTCCTGGGGTGGGTGGGTGGGAGGTGGATCCTAAATTCCAGCGAGTCCCTGCTTTCCTTCTGGAACCCAAGAAACCACAGGATGCTGACTTTGCCCTTGGCTCTCTCTCTCTTTCTCCAGGACCGCCTGTATTTTGTGATGGAGTACGTGAACGGGGGCGACCTCATGTACCACATCCAACAAGTGGGCCGGTTCAAGGAGCCTCATGCTGTGTAAGGGGAAACTCGTGCTTTTTTTTTTCCCCTTGGAATAATGGATGGTTTGTTAGTTCCTTTGGGGTTTTTCACCAAAGGAGGGACTTTGAAACATCGGGAGCTCCTTCTTTGTTTGAAGTACTTGGCCACAGGAAGAAGGTGTCCTCCTTAATGTGAGTTGATTCTTTTGGCCCCTGACGCCAGCTCAGAATATGGAGTCCAAAAACCCACAGCTATTTCTTTCTCTTTAATTCTTGACCCTGATTCCGGAGGAAGGACTCGTAGCTTCCTTAGGGAATGTCGTTGGAGGTTCTGTTGGGTGGTTCGCTAATATTTACTGAGCACTTACTCTATGCCAGGTCCTGGGCGTTCCACAAACATGTTCTCATTTAATCCTGACAACAGCCCTAGGTGGTGGGGCTCTCTGGTTGGCAAACAGAAACCGGAGACCGAGAGGCTTTCGGAAACTTGCTCAGGGCTTCGTAGGAGCCTTCACTCCAAGGAGATGAAGGACCAGGAAAGGGAGACGGAGGCCAGGTTTGGATGAGTCTCTTTCGTCCCCCTCAGACTACAAACCAGCCGGGCCTCTTCTTTTTAGAACAGAGATCCCTGATTTTGTCCAAGTGAAATAAGCCAGACCCAGAAAGAAATAAAGAAAGAAACAAAACTGCACGTTTCCTCATAGATGGAAACTAAAAAAAGAAAAATAAATAACAAATTTTAAAAATGTTGATCTGAACGTAGAAGAAGGATTACTAGGAACTGGGGAGGGGGGAAAGAGGGGGCAGGGAGAAGAAGAGATGCACCTCTGTGTGTGTGTGGCAATACCTCAGTAAACCCATCCCTCTGTACAATAAATGGTAAATATATGGATATATATTTTAAAGGACTCTATGGGGAACAGAGACGTGGCAGGTCACAGGAATCAGCATCAGCACCAGTTCCTGGGGAGTTCGCTAGGATCTCATTGCTCCCCCTAAAGGCCCCCTAGAACATGTCTAGGCCCCCCACCTGTCACTCCTGGGGCTGGCTGGCCCCTCACGTCCACCTGCTGGGCTCAGGAGCACCCTGTTGTGGTTGTGCTTGTGAATCAAGCCATTGGCATCTCTTGGCACAATTCTAATCAGACTAAAGCTCTCGGTCCCCTTTCATTTCTGACATCCATAAACCACAGGCTTAATTCCATTAGCCCAGAAGACGTATTGCCAGGGCTTAACCTTGTTGCCCAGAACCCTGCCCAGCCCTCGCGGCATAAATGGGCTTCCTGGTTCTCGCAGATGCCCTTTCTGCCGGGCGGACCTTCACTGAGAAGTGATACTTAGACCCATGTCGCTCCCAATCCTGGCTGTGTCCCCCCCCATTGGCTACGTCATCTTAAGAGTTCGTCCCCCTAAGCCTCAGTGTCCTCATTAGAACAGGGAGGCACTAGTGGGGCCTGTAGCATAGGATTATGATGAGAATTAGAGACCACCTAATAGGACACTCGGCAGATGGATGCTGGCTGTTGTTATTAAGATATTTTATCTGGGCCAGGGGGGATACAGCTCAGTTGGTAGAGGGCTTGCCTCGCATGCACGAAGCCCCGGGTTCAAAAGATCTTATCATGTTCCAGCACCCCACCAAAAAAATTTAAAAAGATTTTTTTTTTAACTGGCCATAGTCTGAGACTCCCATTCCCCATCCGGTCCATCAGAGCCCATGAGACCCTCCCACTATGCAAATGACAAACCTTTGCCTACCCCCAGTCTGTCCTCCTGGCTCTGGGGCCCCCTGTCCCCCCATTTGTACCCTGGTGAGCTGGGCAGCTGACCATCCAGGGGAGACTTCAGTGCCCTACCCCTCCTTCCAGCTGCCCAGCAGAAGGTGTCTTTGAACTTCTCCCATCTCTCGTTGTCTCTTCTTCATTTCAGATTTTACGCTGCAGAAATCGCCATCGGTCTGTTCTTCTTGCAGAGCAAGGGCATCATTTACCGGTAAGTGCACCGGGCCCAGCGCCTCCCCGTTCCCTGCCTCTCTCTTCCACTGCTTTTAAAATTAGCACCCGCGGTGGGGGAGGAACCCTCCAGGACTAACTTGGGCATGTGTTCTGCCAGGCAGCTTCGCCCACTGCCCTGGCAAAGTTTGGGCAGCTCTCTGTGGTGACAGAGAAATCTTGATGGACTGTGTCACCAACGGTCCAGGGCCCCTCCAACACGAGGCCACCTGCTCTAAGAGGAAGAGGCTTGTCCAGGGGGGCCCTGGGGACTTCTTCCTCTTGCCCGTGGACCCCCACGTTTGGGGGAGTACGTAAAGAATCTTGGTGGGCAGGACGTGGCGGATCATATTATTATGAAACTTTTTTTTTTCATTTAACGACAGTTTGGAAATAGATCTCTGAGTAGCACGCCCTGAGAGACAGGATTAAGTTCAGAACTTGGCATTTGCCAGTCTTTACAGGAGCAAGCGTATGATCAGAGCGGTGTGAGTCACACCGTTTTATATTCCATGCAAGGCCGACTGTGGAGCCCCAGGCTGCTGTGTGTCAGCGTGTCCAGAGTGGGCCATTCTCCTTGTGCTACATGGATGCATATGACAGAGACGGCAGGCGTTTGGGATGGTTTCTTATTGCAAGAGAGGGTGGCACGGGGCAGGGGGCTTCCAAACAGCCCTTGGCATGGGTGAGGTTAAAAGATGCCCAAGGGCCATGAAAATGCATTGTATTCATTCATTCTACTCTGTGCTAGGTGCTCCTCTGGGAATGCGGCAGGCAAGAGATCAGACAAAACTCTTGCCTTCGAGGGGCTTATATATTAACAGTGGGAGGCAGATACGTGTATCAGAATAGAGTCTGCCAAATAGTGATAAATTCCAGTAAAAATAAAACTCGGTAAAATAGAGTGGTTTGTGCTGGGTGGTCGAGGGCCATGTCATTCTGTGGAGGACCTGGCGGTTAGGGTCTGGAGTTAGAGGTGTCTTGGGAGGTCCTGGGCCCCTGGATACTTTTAAATAGTAAGGCCACTCTGCCAACGCTTGCCCTCCGTGCACGGAGCACGCACATGGATCTCCGAGTCAGCACGAGAGGAGACACCCAACTCCTCTGGTCCTCGGTTTCCCTTCGGCTGTCCTAGGGAGAACATTTTCCATCGAATGTCATTCTGGCCTTGAAAGGTACACATCATCTTCCATATGACGTGACCCCTACGTTCAGGCCCATGACTTTGGTTCCAGCTTAACCAAGAAAACAGGGTCCTGGGGTCATTTTTTTTCACTCTACAATTGTCACTTTGTAGGCTGACATTAGGTCCTGTCTCCCTCCTGGGCAGGGAGAGTCTCTAGAAGAACAGAGTTACGAGTGTATTTGAAGAAAATCCAGCCCCAGGGTGGGAACCCAGGGAGAAAGTAGAGTTATCGCCAACCCTGGTGGGATTTAGGGCTAGTTCCCAGTCCAGCAGGGAGCCAGATTAGGATCTGGGGTTCATGGATCCCGGTCACACTGGCCAAGCTGGTCCTAAAACCCAGAGATGAGCATCTCAGATGCTAAGACCATCCCTACGACCATACAGCCCTTCCTCCTGACCTACTTACACACCATTATCAATATAGTTCTTAAAGGAATCTGTATCAATATTTTAAGCCAGTCGGCATTTGAATCATTCTCTTTGCAAGAACAGAGTCGTTTGGTACTATAAAGGTTGGGGCTGCTAGATGCTACTGCCACAGTCTCCCTGCACCCAGGGTGTATATGTGATGCAGGATCAGACACCTGTCACACCCAAGATCTTGATTCAGAAACTAGTGACCAAGGAACTAAGACATGGATTTGAGAGTGACTGTAGAAGTCTGGAAGAGCTGTTTTTCAGAGCCAGGAGGAGATGTGGTTCTTGGCAGTATTAGGATTTCCAAGGACAAGAGGCCACGCTCGTGTCTGGCAGTAGCCTCAGTCACGTCCAGTGGTAGCCTGATTCGTGTCCGGTGGTCCTTGGGGGACCAGCTATGCATCATAATCATGCATTGTCTCTGGCTCTGTGGCCTCCCAACCTGGTTCCCCAGCCTCCTGAGAGATGCTGGAGATGATTGGAGATGGAGTTCTTGAAATTGATAATCAAATGAAAACTGTAAAAAAAAAATTACAGGACAAGAGATGTGGGGCTTTATAATTTCATAGATAATGCCTTCATGGTAGTAAAGCCTTTCAGAACATTTCAAATGGCTCCCTCCTTCCTTTAGATCTCTATTTCATTGGACGGTTCTTAAGAGGATGAAGAATTATGTTAGAGTTCCCCTCTCTGAGGATAGTAGCTGGATATGGTTGGTGGGGAGAGTGTCCGCCATAGATCCTGCCTGTCCAATGGACTGTCTGATTTATTGACCACTTTCCCTGGAAATACGTGTGGATTCTGCCCTGTATGTTTTTTTTTTTTTTAATGAAAAAAAAAAATTGCCCCAGCCACCTTTTGAAGCAGAAATGAGAATTTAGTTCCTAGAACCAAGGAATACAGTATAATATCAAAGGCAATGGACCTGTGGCTCTTGGCATCTGAAATTCCTTCGCTATATTAAATGAAGATGTTCCCATGTCTCTGATTGACCCGGCGGCTCATTTCTGGGCGTGTTGTCAAGCCAAGAGGAAGGAGGTCGTGTATCACTAGAGTGAAGTCACATGTAGGGCGAGTATATAGAGATGAATCAAGATGCTGCAGGGTTCAGCATTCCTAAGTTCTGACCCGGCATTCAGAGATCACCATGGCTTCTAGGTAAGCATGCACCCTGGACCTGGGTGGTACCACGGACAGTACCCAGGGTAGCAGAATGGAAATAACCTTGCTGTGGGTGAATGGCGGGTGCAAATGGACCTCCCTTTGGATGAAGAGACCTCACTGGCTCTCAAGGAGAGGCCAACCTGTGTCCTTGTGGTTGGAAGTGAACATGGCAGCTCAGTTCA